GCAAAACCAAGAGAAAGTTATGTATCTTAGTCACGGCAGAATTCTGTCTACTTAGGCCACCGCATAACTGAAGAGTATATTTCTAATTGCTAGAAAGCAGGGCTTAGTTGGCACGATCCATATAACAACAATACTCACTTTCTGGTTGGTTGTTCTCGCCTGCTACTTCGGCCAGGACTGGATATTGACCTACTAAGGATAGTGTTTGGAACCACACCTGGCTTAGACGATCTGTAAGAAATTGAAGACAGATTTAGAATCAATCAAATAAATTGGTCAACAAATTTAGTGGTGTATTAGATATACGGGCAAATCTAAAAATAAAGTTATGTGTATTAGTACTTACAGCATTCAACACAAACATCCATATAATAGAGAATAAGGACCACTCAGAATCCATGTTACATAATCAGAAAATCATTTTCCGGAATAAATCTTACATTTTACTTTCCATCTAGCGTGAAAAAACTAACTGAACAGGATAATTGTATGTTCATCTTACTTTTTATATAGTTCAACCGCAAAGGAAAGGCCATTGGGGTAAAAATAGAGAAAGATGAGCCATACCCCTGGAGAGCATCATTTGCTATAGAAGGACTGGTATGGAGTTTTGGTTCCTTTATCTCTAAACATGGTTTGCACAAAACTAATGCATTTGAATCACAAGCCTCAACCATTGGACCTGCAATCAATTAGATAAACCAGTCTGAATTCTATAAAAAGAAAAAACACAAGTGAAAACAGTCATTATAGTATTGTACAAACCAATCAGCAACCTTGGCAATTGAAACACAGGCTAGATTTCTTTAGTGCTGGTCCAACTACCAGGAGAAGTTTTTCTTGCAGTTTAGGCAAGGGAGTTTCCCTGCATGCATTCATGACATCACGAAGTGTGAACCCAGACTCCAGTAAGATATATTCCGGTGGACGCTTGTTTGTGCTAGAAGCGTGCTGCTCGTACACGGCAGGGCTCACCACCTGCGGTAATGAAATTTTAAAAGATTACATCAACCTGCTAGCATTTCGCAGGACCCATTAATAGACCTTAAGAACAGTAGTTATCACTAACTTGAGTTCCTTTGCAGGCACAACAAAAGCACAAAACGCCTGATCCTTTTATTACTCCTTTAAGCCCTCTAGTCCCTGCCTCTCTCATCTACGAGAAGATGACATACACATGAGCTATACAAATTCTGCTTTAACATGAATGAATAAAAAAAGCCATCATATACCTTTGCAGCTCGAATATAATACACAGTTAGTCCCTCAAGTATTCTAGAATCAAAAATTTCTTTCAGCTTTGCTGGGAAATTTCTTAAGAATTTCTTGGGCCTTCCACGCATGGGGTAGGTTGTAACTGAAGGTCTTTGAACATCATCCATTTCGACATCATTGACATGCACATCTACCTTGACCGAGTCTGCTGGTTTGGTATTATTTTCCAAATTAAGATTGTCTGAATCGCTTTCTTGTTTGACTAACGACCTCGTTAACCTCCTTAGAGGCTTATCTGCTGCTGTATCGCTCACTTCCTTCTTGTGAACACGACCACTCATCTGTGATGATCCAGCGCATGGATCCGCACTATTTTGCTCATGAACACAATAGTCTTGGCTTTCTGGAATTATATGATCTGCATCACCATTAGCCTCGGATTTGTTACCCTCAGGCTTCAACATAGACCTGGTCAACCTTCTACAGGGTTTATAATTGCCCAAATCCCTTTCCGACTTAACATGGGATGATCTGGAAGCCAGTTTTGCTAACTCAGCAAGATTCGCAGGACAAGCTACAACTATTTCTCGGGAATTTTCCTTGTCAGGTTGCTCCCTAGAGTGATCCTCATTCATCACCACATTCTGAGTCTCCAGACCCTTGCCATTCTCTCGCTCGTCTTCACTCACAGCCGAGCCACTAGTAAACCCCTTTGCTTCCTCGATATCAACCAAAGCAGATTCATCTTCTTCTAAAGCAGAAACTGACATTATAACAGCTTCCTCCTCATCTTTAGTGAGACGCATCTTCTTAACCACAGGCTTCAAAGCAGAACGGCTTCTGGGTTTCTTAGCGTTCGAGTCAGCATTCAAGCTTTTGCTGGCCCGGGTCCGACCTAGAGACTCGCCTCCACAGATCTCAGACTGGGATTTCAATACAAATTGCAACTCCCTTTTACAGCCAGTGCGAACCTGTGAAACAAGCACAAACTCGCCAGAGGCTGTACCTTTCGCCATTGAAAATCCCCTCGCAAGGTCAATGTCGAATCCCCGCAAAACCTACAAAGAGCATCGATGTACCGATACACGTCTACGTTCACTAAAAACTGGGATTGCAGGAACAATTTAGGGTTTGCCTTATCCAAAAAAGAAGAAGAAATTTAGGGTTTCACC